AACTCCAGGCATGTAACTCCACCATCCCCAGGGCCCCCTGGTATTTTTTTAAACTTTATACTCAGGGACGGGGCAAAGGGGGGAAACTGAGCAGGCACCTGCCCCGGGTGCTGTGTTGAGGGGGGAGCTCCCAAGCAGGGGCGGACTGACAACTCATGGGGCCCCCTGGGCAATAGGGGATCATGGGGCCCCTGTGTCCTTGCCCAAACTCAAAAAAGCCTATGAAAAAGGTACCAGGGGCATCTCATGGGGTCCCATACTGACCCCGGGCCCTCGGGCAGTGCCCGAGTTTCCAAGTGGTCAGTCCGCCCCTGCTCCCAAGTTGGCCACTCTTCCTTCTCCTTCCTGACAGGAGTGACTGCAGTTTCACTCCTGTCAAAAGGAGCAGAGGCCGATAGCTGCTGCCGGTGGGAAAATTTGGCTTTTTCTCCCCCTCTAGCCTGCATGGGGCGGAAGAGAGACAGTGCTGAGATAGAGAATTGTTCTCAGTCTCAGTGCCACACTGCTAAGGAAGAAGGACAGATTGTCCTTCTTCCTCTCTACCCCTGTCATGTGACATTTCACATGACTGGAGAAAGGAAGGAGATGCTGCCTTCATTCCAGTGAGTACCGATCTGCCAGTACAAGGGAAAGCATGGGGACACCTGATGAAAAAGGTTACTCTATGGGGAACACCTAATGTAAAGAGGGACTTTATTAGGGACACCTGATGCAAAGGGGGACTGTATAGGGAACACCTGATGTAAAGGGGGGTTCTATTTGGAACACCTGATGTAAAGGGGGACTGTATTGGGGACACCTGATGTAAAGGGGGACTGTATTGGGGACACATGATGTAAAGAGGGACTGTATTGGGGACACCTGATGTAAAGGGGGACTATATTTGAAACACACAATGTAAAGGGGGGCTGTAATGGGAACATCTGATGTGAAGGGGGACACTATTGGGGACACCTGATGTAAAGAGGGACAGTATTGGGGACACCAGGTGTAAAAGGGGGTTTTATTGGGAATACCTGATGGAAAGGGGGACTGTATTGGGGACACCTGATGTAAAGGGGGACTGTATTGGGGACACCTGATGTAAAGAGGGACTGTATTGGGGACACCTGATGTAAAGGGGGACTATATTTGGAACACGCGATGTAAACGGGGGGCTGTAATGGGAACATCTGATGTGAAAGGGGACACTATTGCGGGAGACCTGATTTAAAGGGGGACTCTATTGGGGACACCTGATGTAAAGGGGACTCTACTGGGAGTCCACCTGGCTTGGAGGTGCAATTCGCCATCTGCACTCTTGGCACTGGATGATCTTGTCCTGGCACTGTCTATACTCTATATAGGAAGTTCCCCTTCTTCCAGGGATGGTGAGCTGGCATTTTTCCAGGACTGACCAGCATTTATGTAATGACTTGTGAGCACCCAGTCCTGGGGTACTGTGAGACTACCTTGCATGACGCCGCCCCCCGCCTTCCATACAGGGCATGCAAATAACATGTTGGGCTCACAGGAAACGGGCAGAAAGAGAGAGGGTTGTTCTGTATTGATGTGGCTGGTCAGGGAAGCCAAGGACAGGGCTCAATTGTGAAGAACATTAGAACTTTATGTTGAATAGATCCTGGGAGACTAAGCATGTGGTTTTCAATAGGCTAAGCTGACTTCAAATCAGAGTAGGCGGTACACATCATGCTGAAAAATTGAGCGCAAAGGTAATATAAACCAAGATGGATAGAATGGACCCAAAGGGAAGGTTGTAGCTTCATCCTATCCTCCTTCAACCCATTGACTGACATTAGTAAGGATTGCAATAGGAAAAGAGAAGCTGGCCATTTTGAATTGCTGGTAGAAGCATGATCTCCCAGATCAGATACAGACTGCATACAAATGAATCCTCCCTTGTGAAGTGATTTATTGCAGGAGCATAAAGGTTGTAGCTGAGCCCTCTAGATATCCATCTAGTCCTAGGTTCCTGCATGCTATTTCTCTGATATCAACCTAGACCATCTAATTGATTACAAAAAGGTTATGATAGTAAAAGACTGCATATATCCCCACAGGAATTTGGAATTCATGCTAAGCTGATATGATTAGAGAAGATGATAAAGGTACAAGAAGTAAAGTAAAAGTATAAGAACAAGGACACCAAGGCCAAAACCATGGCCATGAATATAGAGTTTTCCCCTTCTGTAGCTATAACATCCTCCACTCTTCTTGGAAGGCTTGATTACCTAAAAGACTGTTCACTTTGCAAGGGAATTTTATCCAAGGATTAGTGAATGCGGTGAAACTTCACTTTGCAAAGAATACGCAATTACATGCAAGGAATATAGAGAACACAGCTTTACTTGAACATGAATGGATGATGGAAGCTTCACCTAAGCTCTGGGGAAAATACCCTTGCAGAGTGCAACTGCACATACAATGTGAATAGTCTATTTTCTTTAGTAAATCAACTCCACTGTCTTACCATGCATTCTGTTTCATTTTAATTTGGAGAAAACCTGATGAAAATTTAAATGGAAGATGGAAAACAGTCATCTGATCTAAAACAGAACCCTATAATGCCTTGCACTGACATAGACATTGGTGGAAGAACTCAGGGGTTTGATAAAAAGGATGGGTTTTGCAATGAACAAAGAAAAAAATTAAATGTATGATATCATCCGGCAGTTTACAGGTCATAAAATATATCATATACCCAAAATTGTGGATACCTGTCCATCACACCAACATGGCCTTGTTGGCTATCCCATTACAAAACCAAGGTTGTTAAAATGTAAATACTAACCACAGCTTACAAAGCCATCCACAACACTGCCCCTAGCTACATCGCCAACCTCTCTTGCACCCTCATCACCCTCTTCCCACGTTTGCCTCCAGGACTTCCTCAGAGCCTTTCCCATCCTTTGGAACTCCCTACCACAGTAGGTCCGGTCAGCCCCCACCCTGTCTGCCTTTAAGCGATCTTTGAAAACTCACTTATTCAGGGAAGCCTACCCCACCTCCACCTAAAAACTGTACTTGAATAACCTCCACCAGATCATCCCCCACAGCTATCACCTTTTGTATCACCTCCCCCTTTCTTTAGATTGTAAGCTCCAGGAGCCAGGCCCTCCTATTCCTTCTGTACTGAAATGTATTGTATTTGTACTGTCTTCCTTATATTGTAAAGCGTTGAGAAAACTGTTGATGCAATACTGTATAAATCCTGTATAATAATAATATGGAATTGGAATTTGAGGCTCTTCTCTCCTCTTGGAAGGCGGGAGGTCCCCCCCCAAATTTTGGAGTTCTTGGAAGACTCTCCCCCCAAGATTTTGGAGGGTGTCTGTGGGAATTTGTGCCCATTCGTGAGGTCAGGTACTGATGTTGGATGAGAAGACCTGACGCACAATTGGCATTCCAATTCATCACAAAGGTGTTTAGTAGGGTTGAAGTCAGGGGTTTATGCAGGAATCTGTGGCTCCTCACTCCTCTGGGAAGGCTACCCCCAAAATTTTGAAGTTGGTATGTAGAAATATATGCTCATTCTACCAAATGAGCATTTGTGAGGTCAGGTGTTCAGCTCGGGTTGAGGTTACTCAAGTTCCTCCACAGCAAACTCATCAAACACCTGGATTTTTCTATTCCAAAACCATGGCCACTAACATGGAGTTTCCTACTCTTGTGGCTAGAACATTCTCCACTCTTCTTGGAAGATTATCCGCAAGATTATGAAGGGTGTCTGTGGGAATTTGTGCCCATTCGTGAGCTCAGGTACTGATGTTGGATGAGAAGAGCTGATGCACAATTGGCATTCCAATTCATTGCAAAGGTGTTTAGTAGGGTTGAAGTCAGGGGTCTATGCAGGAATCTGTGGTTCCTCACTTTTCTGGAAAGGCTACTCCCAAAATTTTGAAGTTGGTATGTAGAAATGTAGGCTCATTCTACCAAATAAAGACCTGACGCACAATTGGCATTCCAATTCATCACAAAGGTGTTTAGTAGGGTTGAAGTCAGGGGTTTATGCAGGAATCTGTGGCTCCTCACTCCTCTGGGAAGGCTACCTGCAAAATTTTGAAGTTGGTATGTAGAAATATATGCTCATTCTACCAAATGAGCATTTGTGAGGTCAGGTGTTCAGCTCGGGTTGAGGTTACTCAAGTTCCTCCACAGCAAACTCATCAAACACCTGGATTTTTCTATTCCAAAACCATGGCCACTAACATGGAGTTTCCTTCTCTTGTGGCTAGAACATTCTCCACTCTTCTTGGAAGATTATCCGCAAGATTATGAAGAGTGTCTGTGGGAATTTGTGCCTATTCGTGAGGTCAGGTACTGATGTTGGATGAGAAGAGCTGACGCACAATTGGCATTCCAATTCATTGCAAAGGTGTTTAGTAGGTTTGAAGTCAGGGGTCTATGCAGGAATCTGTGGTTCCTCACTTTTCTGGAAAGGCTACTCCCAAAATTTTGAAGTTGGTATGTAGAAATGTATGCTCATTCTACCAAATAAAGACCTGACGCACAATTGGCATTCCAATTCATCACAAAGGTGTTTAGTAGGGTTGAAGTCATGGGTTTATGCAGGAACCTGTGGCTCCTCACTCCTCCGGGAAGGCTATCCCCAAAATTTTGAAGTTGGTATGTAGAAATATATGCTCATTCTACCAAATGAGCATTTGTAAGGTCAGGTGTTCAGCTCGGGTTGAGGTCACTCAAGTTCCTCCACAGTAAACTCATCAAACACCTAGATTTGTCTATTCCAAAACCATGGCCATGAATATGGAGTTTTCACCCTCTTTGGCTATAACATCCTTTACTTTTCTGCGGAGACTTTCCACAAGATTTTGAAGGGTGTCTGTGGGAATTTGTGCCCATTTCTGAGGTCAGGTACTGATGTTGGGTGAGAAGATGTGGTTTACAATTGGGGTTCCAAATCATTCCAAAGGTTTTCAGTAGGGTTGAGGTGAGGGCTCTGTACAGGACACTCAAGTTCCTCCCCACTAAACTGGTCAAACTATGTCTGTATCAGGGGCGGACTGACCATTTGGAAACTCGGGCAATGCCCGAGGGCCCGGGGTCAGTAGGGGGCCCCATGAGATGCCCCTGGTGCCTTTTTCATAGGCTTTTTTTAGTTTGGGCAAGGACACAGGGGCCCCATGATCCCCTATTGCCCGGGGGCCCCATGAGTTGTCAGTCCACCCCTGGTCTGTATGGAACTGGTTTTGTACACAGGGGCAAAGCCATGCTACAGCCTTCACCAAAATGTTGCCACAAGCTGGGAAGCACACAGTTGTCTAATATGTCTTTGTGTGCTGTAGCATTAACAGTACCCTTCACTGAAAACATCTAAACCATGTAAAGTTTGGTTCCAGACTTTACAGATGATTGCTAAAATTAATAGCTTTCAATCTTCCTTAGGATTCTTAGTAGACAGACAGGAAAACTGAGAAACTTTGCATTAACTCAAGGACTTGGGCACAACCATCCAAGCGGTTGCACAACATGTGCTGGAATACATCAATAAAAGCCCAGCAGAAAGGTGAGCATATATTCCTCCAAAACATGCTGACTTTATTAATTTTACCATTCTTAAAAAAACAAGCTTTGCATGTGTATGAATTTTCACTCAAGGTGGCCCTTGAGAAGCCACCTGGCTGTGGAACATTAACGGTAAGATTTGGGAAAGAAAATTGCATTTTTCTGGAGACCAGACGCTCCTTCCCTCTTACCCAAATCAGTTGTTATCTGAAAGGTAGCAGCCCAAACCCTCAAAGGGGTTTCCTCATCACCTGGCTGAGGAGCATTAACAGTGAGAAGATTTGGGTAAGAAGGAAGGAGCTCCTGGTCTCCAGAAAAATGCAAATATTGGTGTAGAATTCACAAAATGTTTTTACTGAAAGGATAAACCATGTGCATCTAGCCAATGGAATGGACTCCCCCTTCTTCAGGGCTTTTAGTGTGTACTTTTGGGTGGGGTTATGTTCTGAAGAGATCTTTAATTTCTAGCTTCCAATTGGCAAAGTGCCAGCTCATGGTGGTGCATAGGCAGCAGTGGAGAGGATCACACAGAAATCTAATATGTACACTATCCTCCACACCATAAACCCTAATACTATAACTCAAATAATTATAAAGTGTAAATTCCAGGCATAAAGTCCAATCTCCAAAAAATATATGTGTAAAGTCACTCAAAACAAAAAAATAAAATAAAAAATAAAAATATATATATAAAGTCACTGCAACAAAAATAAGTGTCCAAAGTCCAACTTGTCAAATCCTTTGGTGCTGAGCCCCTCCACTGGCTCTTAAAGGACAGAAAGTACCTCAATGCAGTGGAGAGGATGTTTGGCACCAAAGCCTTCAAAAAATCTTGGTGCAAACTTGAGGCCCTAGTCTATATACAGTATATTTTTTTAAAGCTTTGGCATCAAATATCCTCTTTGCTATTGCCTCTACAGCACCACAAGCCACCTCTGCCAATTGGAAGCTAGAAATTAAAGATCTCTTCAGAACATACCCCCACCCATAGGTATGCACTAACAGCCCTGAAGAAGGGGGAGTCCATTCTTCCCGAAACTTGTTGGCTTGATGTACATGTTTTACCCTTTCAATAAAAACGTATTATGAACTCTACACCAAGAATTGCATTTTTCTGGAGACCAGGCGCTCCTTCCCTCGCATCCAAATCTTCTTGCTGAAACAACCACAGAGTTGTTATCTGAAAGGTAGCAGCCCAAGCCTCAAAGGGGTTTTCCCATCACCATCCAACTCAGTGGAAGGGACCTCTTCCTAACTTCCTAACTGCCCACGCGGCCACCTACCGATGACTAGATAGCGATCTAGTCTGCCCAGAGCGGTCTCCAGCCCAAACCAGAGCTTTAACAGTGGCCTTTATTACAAAAACACTTGACCTCAGTCATTTTAAGGGATGTCCACAGAGAGTGTAGGTGTGAAGGATTGGTCAAGTGTCCAAAGGCCTTTGTAAAGAGCGTACATATAAAATTAAAACAGAAAATTATAAATTTTCTGAAAATTAATGCATTTAAAGGTTTAAAGGTAGCCTCCAAAACTTTATAGATAAAAGTCAAAAAGCTATAATTAGATCAGTTGAAATATACCGTTCTCTGGATCTTGATATTTCAAGCAAATAAGTAGATCCGAAAATACTTCCAAGTATGGGAACGTAAAGCACTGCGGAAACCCGATGAAGCAGTATGCTCGAGTTAAATTAAGAAGTTGTAAATTTATATTTAGATACCAAATACTGTAGACATTGAAGCGCAAATATAGATTTAGACGGAGACAGCATGCAGAGGGAATGAAAAAGTAAAGGGGTGTTAACAGGGGCAGACTGACAACTCATGGGGCCCCCGGGCAATAGAGGATCATGGGGCCCCTGTGTCCTTGCTCAAACTCAAAAAAGCCTATGAAAAAGGTACCAGGGGCATCTCATGGGGCCCCCTATTGACCTCGGGCCCTCGGGCAGTGCTCGAGTTTCCAAATGGTCAGTCCGCCCCTGGGTGTTAAAGACAAGAAGCAAAAGATGTATCAGTAGGCCAGGGAAGAGGTACACAGATGACATAAGAACCCTGCCAACCCTACCAGCAGTTCATGGTGTCCCTAAGAGATGACAGTCTTAATCAAGCCCTAACCTGTCACTTTATTAGGTCCATCTTGCCAGTATCGGGTTGGACCCCCTTTTGCCTTCAGAACGGCCTTCATTCTTCATGGCCTAGATTCCACAAGGTGTTGGAAACATTCCTCAGAGATTTCATTAGTTTTCACTAGCTTGCTAGTTCCGGTTGGAGATTTTGGTCTATATTGATATGATGATAGTATCAGGCGATTGCTGCATATTTGTTGGCTGCACATCCATGAATTGTTGATACAAGGCAGGATGGATCCATGCTTTCATGTTGTTGACCCTACCATCTGAATGTTGCAAATGAAATCAAGACTCATCAGACCAGGCAACATTTTTCCAATCTTCTGTTGTCCAATTTTGGTGGGCCTGTGAGAATTGTAGCCTCCATTTCCTGTTCTTAGCTGACAGGAGTGGCCTTCTGCTGCTGTAGCCCATCTGCTTCAAGGTTCGATGTGATGTGCGTTCAGAGATAGTATTCTGCCTACCTTGGTTGTAACGAGTGGTTATTTGAGTTACTGTTGCCTTTCTATCATCTCGAACCAGTCTGCCCATTCTCCTGTGACCTCTGACATCAACAAGGCATTTTCCTCCACACAACTGCCACACACTGGATATTTTTCCTTTTTCGGACCATTCTCTGTAAACCCTAGAGATGGTTGAGCGTGAAAATCCAAGTAGATCAGCAGTTTTTGAAATACTCAGACCAGTCCGTCTGGCACCAACAGCATTCAAAGTCCCTTAAATCCCCTTTCTTCCCCATTTTGATGCTCAGTTTGAACTTCAGCAAGTCGTCTTCACCACGTCTAGATGCCTAAATGCAATGAGTTGCTGCCATGTGATTGGCTGATTAGCAATTTGTGTTACCAAGCAATTGAACAGGTGGACCTAATATAGAGGCCGGGGACTGTAAGTCTTCTATTGCCTCTCACTGATTCTAATAATGTCCACTACTGAAGCCCTGAGGAAGGGGAAGGCCCTTCCCCCGAAAATACGGTGGGTATATTTGATGCTCTTAACCAAAGAACATTTCAAAAAGACTTCTGAGTAATATGAACCTTTGTACTAGAGCAGTGGTTCTCAACCTTCCTAATGCCGCGACCCTTTAATACAGTTCCTCATGTTGTGGTGACCCCCAACCATAAAATTATTTACCCAGTAATTATAAGTCATGAAGTGTTGTTTTACCTCCAATATTGCTGCTTTCTACACAGTAGCTGCTTTTAACACAGTAGCTGTTTTTAACAGAATAGCTGCTTTCAACACAGTAGCTGCTTTCTACACAGTAGCTGCTCTTTACACATCGGAAATATGTTTTTTCCTGATGGTCTTAGGTGACCCCTTTGAAAGGGTCGTTCGACCCCCAAAGGGGTCGTGACCCACAGGTTGAGAACCACTGTACTAGAGGCTCCTCAGTACCCACATAATAGATGATGCTGAAAAAGACAAAACATCTATAAATCCGAGACTGGAGGAAAAAAGATATTGAAGAATGGATCCACATCTTGCAAAAATTTGAAAGACCCTTCTTGTTCTGTAGCGTCATGGAGAAAGCATGTACTATACTGTAAGTTCGACTCGAACATGGGCCATTTGTATGTTCGGCGAACACACAAAAGGTAAGGGGGTTCAGCAGGTTGTTCGCCCGCCACACCCCACAATGCCAAATGCCCTGACAGTGCATTGTGATTGGCCAAAGCAATGCTTTGGCCAATCACCGGGCATGAATACGTCACAAGGGGGCGGGGTGACCCTGCCCCTTTGTGACATCATCACAGCAGTTAAGAACTGTCATCCCGGCGCAGCTGTCAGATGGCGGGAGCAGAGCGTTTTTTTTTTTTCCTTTTTCGGGTCGGCGGGCATTGTGATTGATGTTGGATCTATTTCGACATTTTTTTAATTTTTGTTTTTGATAAAGGACTTGTCAATGACTCCTGTTATTTTTACACTACACTTTTTTTTGTGAATGGGTAGGGGTTACCATGTACCCCATACTCATTCACATGGGGGGGGGGGGGGGATCTGAGGGCCCTGTTGTTAAAGGGAGCTTCCAGATACCAGATAAGCCCCCATAGACCCCCACAACCAACTGCCACAGTTGTGGGTAAGAGGCCTTTGTTCCCATTTGACAAGGTGCCCCAAAGTACCCCCCATGTTGAGGGCATGTGGCCTAGTATGGTTCAGGAGGGGAGGGAGTGCTTGCTCGCCCCCCCTTTTCTGACCTGCTGGGCTGCATGCTCGGATAAGAGTCTGGTATGGATTGTGGGGGGGACCCCCACACAATTTTTAAAAACATTTTGGCATGGGGGTTCCCCTCAAAATCCATACCAGAGCTGAAGGGCTTGGTATGAATGGGGAGGGACCCCACGCCATTTCTTTTTTACATTTTTAATTGCCGGGCAATGACGGCAATTCCTTTTACATTCAGCTGTCAGAGGGGAATCCTGCTGACAGCTGAAACTGTAAAGAATGTTTTCACTACTAAAATACTGCCTGACTTCATAATATAACTCCTGCGACATTTTAGTAGCTGTGTGGTATCTCACCACATACTCGGATGGGGTAAGATACCGCTTAGTGAATTGTCCCCCTCTGTTCGAAGTTCGCAGTTGAACTTGCAGTAGGTTCGAATGTTCGACCGCGAACTGAACAGGGGGGTGTTCACTATACACTATTCATTACTGGGGCACTGGAGATTGAGGAA